TATCGCAAAATGGAGGGGAAGAAAAGGTTAAGAAAGTAAAGGAGCAAGAAGAAAAAAGTTACTCTTTGAAAGTAGAGGCTGAGTCTTATCTTTGCAGCCACAGTGCATAGCATAAAGCTGTCATATAGTGCACATGAGAGATGTGAGCCAGGTGAATGAATGCATGACTGGGTGCATACCTCTTGCCTCATGAAGATACTCCTGCTGGGATAATGATGACTCACATTTATACAGAGAGTTTACAAAGTGGTGCTTTGCACCTTGTGAATCTCAAATATAATTCTGACACTCTTCATTACTTCTATGTTTTCCCTCTCAAAGGTAGTCCTATACAAAGTTCTTTTCCAAAGCAAAGTATGGACTTGGCCAAGAAATCAGAAGCAGGGAGAAGAAAATATAAATACTGGAAAACAAAGGATTCTTCCTAAGGAAAAAAATGGGATTTGTTAGTGACTTGTGAGAGTTCTGCAAAGGGCCACAGCATCCGCCAATGATACCCTCTTGCTCATATGGCAAGCACATGCTATTTCTTGCCTCAGTCCTGCTGCAAAGGCCTACTCCCCTTCTCCCCGCCTGTCCATCCCCCACTCCCTGCCGCTCACCTTTCACCCAGCGAGCTCCTCCTTACTCCTCAGCCTCTCTCAGGTCCACGCTGGGCTGGATTACATTCAGCCTCTCTCCCTCCCGCAGCACCCTGTTGTCAGCCGATTTGCCGCATTAGGCTGCCGTTACATCGTGAGGTTGATCTCCTCCAACTGGATTGTGATCTCTTGGTGGAGAAGTTATGTTCCTGTGTGTCCAGTGTCCGGCACTGGGGTGTTTCTGTACATCTGTACACCTACCCTTCAGTCACAATCTCAAGGGGATGACGCCCAAGAATCTGTCTTTTTAACCCTCACCAGGCGATGCTTAAACTAGCTTGAAACCACTGTGTCATAAAAGCTAAAACTAGCTGTATGAATGTATTCTGAGGTGTCTGTGTCTTTTCTGTGTTGGGCTTTGAGAGGAGAAATGCTTTCCAGGCACAGGGTCAGAGCTGAAAAATCCTAGAGCTTTTATAAAAGCTCCTGAGACCAGTCTGCTTTCTCCATTAATTCCTTTCTGTTTCTGGGTGTGCATTTTTGTGCGCAGGCTTTTCTGCCTTGGGCCTCCTTTGTCAGATATCGCTCATCTGTGAGTTGAGGCCCTGACTCCCTTCCCACAGAAGGAAGAGTCATCTCTCTGAAGATGAACTCAACAGACCACCTCCAGGATGCTCCCAACAGCACCCTGCTACATGTGCCTCACTCCCAGGGAGGAAACAGCACTGCTTTGCAGGAGGACCTCCGGGACCTCATCCACACGGCCACCTTGGTGACCTGTACCTTTCTACTCGCAGTCATCTTCTGCCTGGGCTCCTACGGCAACTTCATTGTCTTCTTGTCCTTCTTTGATCCAGCCTTTAGGAAATTCAGAACCAACTTTGATTTCATGATCCTGAACCTGTCCTTCTGTGACCTCTTCATTTGTGGCGTGACGGCCCCCATGTTCACTTTCGTGTTGTTCTTCAGCTCAGCCAGGAGCATCCCAGACGCTTTCTGCTTCACCTTTCATCTCACCAGCTCTGGCTTCATCATCATGTCCCTCAAGACAGTGGCGGTGATCGCCCTGCACCGGCTCCGCATGGTGCTGGGCAAGCAGCCGAATCGCTCAGCCTTCTTTCCCTGCACCCTGCTCCTCACTCTGCTTCTCTGGGCCACCAGTTTCACCCTTGCCACCTTGGCCACCCTAAAAACCAGCAAGTCGCACCTCTGCCTTCCCATGTCCAGTCTGATTGCCGGAGAAGGGAAAGCCATCCTGTCTCTCTATGTGGTTGACTTCACCTTCTGTGTGGCTGTGGTCTCTGTCTCGTACATCATGATTGCTCAGACCCTGCGGAAAAATGCTCAAGTCAGAAAGTGCCCCCCTGTGATCACAGTGGATGCTTCCAGACCCCAGCCTTTCATGGGGGCCCTGGCGAAGGGAGGTGGAGACCCCATCCAGTGCGCCATGCCGGCTCTGTACAGGAACCAGAATTACAACAAACTGCAGCACGTTCAGACCCACGGATACACCAACAGTCCCAACCAGCTGCCAGCCCCTGCAGCCAGCCGGCTGCAGCTGGTGTCAGCTGTCAATCTCTCCACGGCTAAGGATTCCAAGGCGGTGGTCACCTGTGTGGTCATCGTGCTGTCGGTCCTGGTGTGCTGTCTTCCGCTGGGGATTTCCTTGGTGCAGGTGGTTCTCTCGAGCAACGGGAGCTTCATCCTTTACCAGTTTGAACTCCTTGGATTCACTCTTATATTTTTCAAGTCAGGATTAAACCCTTTTATATATTCACGGAACAGTGCAGGGCTGAGAAGGAAAGTTCTCTGGTGCCTCCGGTACGTAGGCCTGGGTGTTTTCTGCTGCAAACAGAAGACTCGACTTCGAGCCATGGGAAAAGGGAACCTCGAAGTCAACAGGAACAAATCCTCCCATCATGAGACAAACTCCGCCTACATGCTGTCTCCAAAGCCCCAGAAGAAATTTGTGGACCAGGCTTGTGGCCCAAGTCATTCGAAGGAAAGTGTGGTCAGTCCGAAGATGTCTGCTGGACATCAGCACTATGGTCAGAGCAGCTCAACCCCCATCAACACTCGGATCGAGCCGTACTACAGTATCTACAACAGCAGCCCATCCCAGGAAGAGAGCATCCCGCATAACCTACAGCCGGTGAACGCCTTCGGATTTGCCAATTCATACATTGCCATGCATTATCACACCACCAACGATTTAATGCAAGAGTGTGACCGCACTTCAGCCAAGCAGATTCCAGTCCCCTCTGTGTAGCCCAGAGAGGCCAGAGAGTCCGACGTAAACTGCTTTTGCTTCTGATACAAATTGATTGTTTTTTAATTTTTTGAGAACAGTAGTAGATCAAAACTTAACGATTCACCCGAACAGTTGGCACTTAGGATTTTCTTTTGTCTGATGTGTTAGCATCTGTTGATTTGCTTTGTGTTTTCTTAACAATTTAATAATTGATGTAAAAGTTTATTATTTAGTTTCTTACCCGGATCTGTGCTCCAGCCTTTTGTACTAAACTTTTAAATAGATGCCAGGGAACGATCATGCTACCGTATTAAAGCTGGGAATGAACTGATGATCATTCGAGTCAGTGTTCTGGATCTTCAAAGTAAATACGAGTTGGATTTTTTTTTAAAGAATGTGAAGGTATTGTCTTTACTGTGTTATTTTTATTGAATTGTAAATTTTGATTGAAGTGTTGAAATGGGGAACAATATGCTTGTTTTGGTAGCAGGCTTACTGGAACAAATAATACATTGTTAAAGCAGAAAATCAGAAATGTATTGTCTAAAACTATCCTTACCAAAAAAACACAAGCATTAGGTACTTTCCTTGCATACGACAGTCAACCAAGAATACAGTATTGTGATTATTACCATTTCTTGTTAGAGACATTATTACTTTGTGTCAATTAAGTAGCTATATAGTTCTTTTGAAAAGAAAGCAATTTTTGCTTGCTAAAAATGAATTGTTCTATTTTGGAATGATCTGATCCAAGAATCCTAGTGAAGAGGACTGCATCTGCAGCAGAGGGATGCTCTTCCTGGGAGAGTCATCTCACCAGGGTGCTGCTCTCTGGGAAGCGGGCTAGGCTCTTGTATGTGTGAGGTGATCATGGTTATTGCCTGAGAAGGCATAGGGATGAGATGGGGGTGTTTCGATTCATGCTTTCCTTCTGTGTAAGAATGGTGGTTAACAACCTGACAAAGAGTACCTAAGTAACTACTTAGAAATAATTCTTTGGTCTTTGTTTATATATCACTATATTAGACAAATTCTTAACATGACCTGTTGTCAGACTAAGTGCGCTAATTCTCTCCCATTAATCTTAAACTGGAAATGGGCAGTAAGGCAAAACAGATGAAGTATTTGTACACTGAAAACTAATTTTATTATATACTCTGTGATTCCTAGGATAACAACTGTCAACTTATATTTTTATGTAAAAATATTTTCATTATAAGGTTAGCATTTGAACTCTGTACAGTTTTGGAACTGTAACTTTTAGACATGATGAGCATCAAGATACAAAAGCTATCTTTATAAATTGTTATATCCAAGAACTGTTTGCAAATTGGAAGGCCCTTTGTCCCTTTGGATGGAAGGTGTTCAATTTATAGCATCCTCTCCCAGGCTGTCCCCAAATCCAGAGGTCATGGGAGGCATGGAGAAGACAGGTGATGCTCAACTAGAACCATGCTCAGCCTCATCTAATAATGCTTACCTTCCCATATCAACCAGTCATTTCTATTTCTGAGGTTTAAGTATAAGATAGGGGTTTTATTTTGTTTTTAAATTCACCTTTTAGGACTCTCCTCTTACCTTCCTTCTCTCCCTTTTGTCCTTTATTTTTGCTATTCAGTTTTATAACAGAAAAGAACATATCCACTCTCTCATTTTTTTTTGTAATTGAATGCTATTTTTGGAAGTCACTATGACCTATTTCAATTGTGCTTTTATATTTTTAATACAACACTTTTCATTTATTAATATTCCCATGAGATAGGTTAGTATATTACCTCTTTTTAATGAAGAATTCAGAAATCTAATATTCTCTCCCAAGATCATTGGAAGACTTGAGGTAAATCAGGAACTAGACTTTTGTCTAAATTCAGAACCTGGTGTTTATTTCAATAAGCCAAACAGCTTCATAAGTAATAATATTAATTAAGAAGATATTTCACACTTTTTAAAGCCTGTCTCTCTTTTTTGGCCAGGCATTTTAAATGTGACTCAATAAAATATTTTTTTAAAAAGTAGTTTCTACTTAATTGTTAAATTAACAATGACAGGTTTCCTGTGTGACCTTCACATTTGAGACGACTTGCCCCATCTTTGGGAGCTAAAAGTTACAGCATAAAGAAAACTAAGCATGTGCATATGACGTACTGAGTCTCTTTATGCTCATCAAGAAATTATTAACTTGCATGACATGTACAGTGGGCTAGATTATTCACCTTCCTCTGTATCTGTCTCTGTCTCTCTGACTGTGTGTGGATATATGTAGATGTGGAGACTGAGGCAGATATGTATTACTTGTCTCTTCATAAGTGATATATGTCTCTCTATACCGATATCTATATGGAGGTAAAGCTATAGATAGACATATGTAACTTCTCCATAAGGGCTAAAATGAGAACTTTTATAAAAGTATTGAGAATTCAGTTGACTTTGACTAATTAGCAGGGTATATTAATTAGTTCTATTGATGCTTTACTGTGATGCAAAATATGTGATGTATTCAAACATTTTATAATTGTTCTGATGTTAACCGTTAGGTCAGATTTGTATTTCTGACGCTTTTAATGTTCTTTTAAACTAATGTTTGGAAAATAAAAATACTGAAAATCCTAACATTTCTGAACATGAGACTGCAGTACTCTTATTTCCTGTCTAATCATTTAAAAACCATCAGAGAATAGCCAGTGTTGAAGCTGGGAGAGAGTAATTTTCCTTGAAAGATGAAATAACTTGTTTGCCCACATTTTGTAGCAGGCAGTAAGGCTCAGAATAACCAAGAATAAGTAGCTCCAAAGGTTAAATATTTACTAAACAAAGTTTCTCACCCAGCGGGAAAAGTCCGGACTAAACATTTAAAAAACCTCTTTAAAATGAAATGAATCTGGAAGAAGATATGGAATTCTGGATATTTCAGTTTATCTGTTAATCAGGGTTTGGTTCTAAGAATCAGAAAGCATTAATTTAAGCAGGAACGGATTGAATACAGGAGATTAGATGGCTACTAACTCATTAGAATGCCGGGTCTCCAGGGAGGAGTCCACAGGAAGCACCCCCAGCCTGAGCAGCCAGCTGAGCTGCTCCTCCAGCCAGCAAGAGCCGAAGCCGGGACGCCTCCGGGGACTCTGTCTGACTTCTAGGACACCTGTAGAAGTAGACATCCAGAGATCAGGAGGCCGCTGCCCTGCCACTGCCTCCACAACGAGCCCTCGTGACACCTCCAGAGCTAAGCGACCGGAACATCAAAGTCCTGCTGCAGAAAACATTTGGCACTGGGCATGTAGTTGGCAGAACCCAATTTGCATTTATAACCCTAGCTTCTGGGAATCTGGTAAAGAACAGATACTGAGTTCCAGTCCACCCTGTCTACAGTGGTTCGTCTTCCTGGTACTCAGCATTTACAGCCACTCCTTCAGCCATGTGTCCAAGCAACAGCAAGAGCCCCACTGTCCCACTTGAAATAATGCAGCTTCTCTCATTTAAACAAAAACCTGCTTCCTCTCCTCCAGAGGAAAGATGCAAAGTCCTGTCAACTACTCTGCTTATTTCTCAGTGGTGTCTTCTAGTTCAGTCAAAAATCTCAACTTGATATTCTGTAACCTAAGGATGAAATTTTAGAGTTTACCACCAGCAAGTACATCTTATAGAAAGTCACAGGGAAAACAGGGCAAGGACAGGAAATTGGTTGAAATGTTTCATAAGGAAGAAAATAAAGGAGCTAATAGAGACCTTACTTGCCTCTGATTAGGAGGCTGTGGTTGGTATTTTGTAACTTCCTTCCACCACTCTTTTATTTCCTTTATTTTTCAAACTAGATTTTCTGTTTATTGTTGAGGAATAGGAATACAATAGCTTACGTAAATTTTATGCCATTTTTATATTTAACCATAACCATTTTGCTAAATTCTCTCATTTCTGATAATGTATCTAAAGAATATTTTGGGTTTCTATGTAGACAGCAATGTCATCTGCAAATAATAATAGTTTTGTTTCTTCCTTTGTAAGCCTTATACCTTCTCTTTTTCCTGTCTTCCAGGGTTGGCTAAAATTCGGTGTAATATTAAAATGAAGTTTTAGTAGCAGACGTTATTATTATTATTATACCCTCACCCCCCTCATTCCCTTTATTATTTATTTATGCTTTCTCCTTTCAGCTTTTCTTGGTCCATCTTCCCAAATAGTGACAATGTTATCAGTCTTTCTAAAGAACCAACTCTTGCCTTTATTGATCCCTTGTATAGTATTTTTGTTTCCTTTCACTAATTTCTAGTCAAATTATTTCCTTCTTTCTGCTTCCTTGGGGTTCTTTCTATTTTTTCTAACTTTTTTTTAAGTTGTTGGTTTTTTTTTTTTTGTAGTAAGGGGAGATAATTAGGTTTATTTATTTATTTTTAATGGAGGTACTGGGGATTAAACACAGGACCTCATGCATGCTAGGTGTGCACTCTATCACTGAGCTATACCCTCCCCACTCTGACTCCTTAGGTTTGATACTTAGCTCATTAATTTTCAGTTTTTCTCTTTTCTAATGTAAGCATGTTAAGTTATTAAAGTCTACGAATTTCCCTTGAAGAGAAGCTTTGCCTCCAACCCACAGATTTTGATATGGATTTGTATTAGCTGAAGCTGAGTTGTGCTGTGATAACCAGCAATTTCAACCCAATTTCTGTGTCACCACAACAAAAACCTATTTCTTACATGTTGACCGTGGCTCTACTCCATCCTAGGATCCAGGCTGAAGAAGCAGTTACCTGCACCATGCCAATCTCTGGCGGAAGGAATACAGTAGGGACTTGTAGAAACTTCTGCTCAGAGGCAGCACACATCACACCACTCACGTTTCACTGGCCAAAGCAAGTCAGATGGCCAAGCATGATGTCAAGATTTCAGAAATACAAATCTAACAGGTTGGGGCACTGTGAGATCATGACAATGAGCTGGACTATATAATTCTTTCACAGGGTAGAGCAGAAACTATTTGGAATAGTAAGACAATTTACTGCTGTATTATTTTTATGATCATTTCGTTCTAAATATTTTCTAATTTGCATTACTGTTTTTTCTTTGGACTCACAAGTTATTTAGAAGTGATTCTCTTAACTGCCCAAAATTATATTTCAATGATTGATTTTTTAACTTAATAACATTGTGGCAAGTGAGATTTATACAGCTCCAACCCTTGAAAATTTATTTGAGATTTGCTTTATGCTCCCATAAATGGACAGTTTGTGTCAGTGATTTGAGTATACTTGAAAAGAATATGTATTTTCTTATTGTTGGGTAAAATTTCTCCAAAGATCCATTAGTTTGAGTCTATTGATTGTGTAGTTCAAATCTATATTCTTACTGATTTCCTTTTTTGTTTGTTTGTTTGTTTGCTTAGTCCTGAGGAAAGACAGTAGCAGAAATGCTTATACATACGTAGAAAGTATTCTGCTGGCACGTGGTGTGCATGGGTTCCCTGCAGAACAGTGTACAGAGGGATGAGAGAACGTGTTACTTGCTGGGTTGTTAAAGTAGAAGTCAGGAGAGTTTCTATGGGAGTAGAATTATTAAAATATTATTAGATAATTCCTATTTTAAGAATTCAATAAAGAAGATTGTTGATATTACTCCAAATTCACTTCTGAAGCTTATTACTATTTAAACATGCATTTGTACACAGTTGTTATCAGAATGTCCATGTTTTAGCCTCCGTTTTTTTCTGTTGAAATGATAACATCATCAAACTTTTGAAGAGCAGATTCATTTTATGAATACTATTGAAACTACTCCCAAACCTATATCTGTTCAAGGAAAGTGATGTAGAGGAAAACTGCCTCAAGGCAACCTAGCAAATAAGAAAGAGCTGCAAATAGAGTGTTTCCTTACAGATTGCCTTTACAGCAGTTTTTTTAGGAGTCAAAACTGAATTGGCAATAGGAGTGTATCTCTAGGTAGTAGGTTTAAATTTAGAAACTCATCTAGTTGACCTAGAGACTTATTCTAGACAAGAGAATTTGTATCCTGCTTTGGGAATATTGTTAACCTTATCTGATTAATCATCAGTTATCCACCTTTCTCTTAGGTGATAAAAGAGCGCTCCACGGTACTACAACATGCTGACATCCATTCTACAAGTTTTGACTGTGAAAATGCACACATGCCGATAATAGCAACAGCCATTGGGCTTAGATGATGGTAAGATATACCAACTGCAGAGAGGTTACAATGTGAAAAAAAATGCCTGTCTTAGAATTGGTGATATATGGCATTTAGTATAACCTAGGGGAAAACAGAAAATTATGGTCTCTTGGTAAATAATTTAAGGATCCTTCTTTGAAACTAATACTTTGAATAGTTCTTGGTTAGCAATCCTTTACATCTAGGAGCAAGGCCTCATAAGGTTCCGGGTGGGAATTATTTTGTAAAGTGGGAAGAGGGCAGTAATGAAAGGGCAGTGACCTTTCAGAGAAAAAGCAGCATGAGGTCCTAAAGAGGAAGACATAGTAGCTTCTCAAACAGCTCAGTCTTAGGGACCTGAAAACGAGCATCTATAAACCGGGTCCCTATTTCGTGCTCAGCACACCTTGGTGGGAAGCGCTCTGCCTTAGGCCACCAGTAGCCATCCTTGGGTGCTGGCCAGCTCAGGGCCGCACCGGATCTGACTTTGGATTTCAGCTCATTCTTAAATAATTCTCCAGAATCTAGCCAGGCCAGGTTATGGAGCCTTCCTTTGAAGGCCATCCTCTTCATTCACAGCTTAGTGGCAACAATACACAGAAACTAGTGGAATTTTTGACTCCCAGGGACAGGCTTTTTCTCTCTTATTCACTTAAAGGAGTTGTTGTTTATCTTCTCCTTTATGAAACAGGCCCACGGTCCCCTAAAAGGCAGGCAGCCGGAGGGGGAGGCGGGGGAAGGCTCCCCTCCTCCAGGGATCCAGGCTTTAGAGAGGCCAGGCCAAGACTGAGCTTCAAACCAGGGGCAAAGCAGCTGAGCTCCCGCAGGGGGCGGACTCTGCCTGGGCAGATGCCTGGGCACATGCTGCGGTGTGTACCTGTTAGCAACACCCGCCTGCCCGTGTGTGATGAGGCGCAGGTGAACCAGAAGTCCCTCCCAGGAGTGAAGACACGATGACCTCTTGAAGCCAGATGAGGTAGTTTTTGAGGGGATGGAGTAGGGAAAGGAGGAGCAGGAAGATAGGAAAATAGCTCCCTACTTCCTCCCACGTTCCCAAATACAGATCTGTAAGTTGGGAAGCAGGGGCTGGCAGCCACTGTGATACTCAGTCTTTCAATACTGCTTAAATGCTAATGACACTCAGTTTTCTCTGGTCCTAACCTCTCCCTGAACTCCCTGCTGGTCTACGCAGTTCAACATCTCCACTGGGATATCTAATAGACATCTTAAATTTTAACATGTACAAAACTGACTTTTTTTTAAAAACATTTTTTATTGATTTATAATCATTGTACAATGTTGTGTCAAATTCCAGTGTAGAGCACAATTTGTCAGTTATACATGAACATATATATATATTCGTTGTCACATTCTTTTCTCTGTGAGCTACCATAAGATCTTCTGTATATTTCCCTGTGCTATACAGTATAATCTTGTTTATCTATTCTGCATTTTGAAATCCCAG